ATTCTTCTTATTCATACATATTATCTTATTTTTACTTTTCATTTTCCTGATCAATTATATTATACATTGATATAACTAAAATAGAAAGTATTCTATGCATTTAAAAATTTGTTTAAAACATCCATAAATGAAATAATATCCACTTAAATAAATTGTATAAAACGTACATCTTTCTAATATCATATTTCTTAAATGTTGTATATTAATTCATTTTTAGTATTTATACTATTATTTCGTATTAGTAATATAATTCTCATAAATTAAATTTTGCTGTTATCCAATGCGTATGCAATCTATCAATCTCAAGTAATAATTTTTTCAAACTCGAACAAAGAATTATACTTATGCAAACAGACTATTCAAAAATATAATATTTCTCCCAAAATAACGTTGTATTGTTTTGGTCAAATATCAAACTATTAAATGTATGTGGAATGCTTATATATAATACTAATTTTATAATCAATCAATTTAATCCAAAATTGATTATTTTATTCTTGTTTATGAGAAAACACACATGTGTTGATTAATAACATTTTTTAACTAAACTTTTATTAAAAAATATTTCAACTTTTATTAAAACTTTCACAATTTAAGTACTGTAATATAATGCTAATAATTATTTCTATTTTTATGAATTGTGTCATGGTAAATGGTACATACATAATTATTGTTAATTTATACCAAACAAATTTAAATTATCACATGAACTTTAGTATCAAAACTTAAGTTGCACATATACTTATATTTCATGTTTGGAAAAATAAAACTAATATTCGAGACATATTACATTAATATATTAATATATACATAAATAAGAATATATTAATATATTACATTATGTACATAAGTACTTCTAAACTATATTAAGAATCGGTTCTCTTTTTAATTTCATTTTTTGTTTCTGAAAATATAGAAAAATTATTTATATCGTATTTAGAAACTTGAGGTATATCAGATTTACAACATTAATTATATAAAAATGTCATTTACTCATGACAATCTGTATTTGATAATAATGATTTATAATTAATCATACTTTTTACAAGTGGTTCTATACCCATCGTCCACATCAGTATTGAATCTGTGTTGACAGTTACCTCAGAACAGTTATCATATGTATTTGAAGTACTTACAAGGTCACCAAATTGCATAGTTGTATTTTCTGAAAAATAATTCCTTTTATTATATTACATAATATAGAAGCACTACTTTTGAATGTATATTATAATATAATGTTAATATTAGATTATATATAATCATAATATAACATAAACTTTAACTAGAGTCAATAACTATCTACAGATTTGTTTAACATTAAAAAAACCCTCAAATAAAAAACAATTTCTATTTTTATAAAATAGAATACAAAGATAGAAATCTAAAGAACTATTCGCAATCAAATAGTAATAGTATGTAATCATTTTTGTGTGTATAGTACTGAAATAGTTGATAAAAACACATACTTAAATTCCATTTTAAGCCAGTTGTGCTTATTTGATTAACAGGTGTTCCAATCGGTATAAGTCCACACCAACTACTATTTTGCACTAAAGCATTAGGAATTGATATGCTATGAAAACCAGGCTCCAAAATCCATGTCAATGAATTGCTAGCAACTTGAATAACCTAAAGTAAATAGAATTCAATAAACAAATCATAAAATTAATATAATTAGTTTGCTATATATAATTAATCTACTTATTTTTATGATTTTTCAATTTATAGTATAGATATAAATCTGTGATTATAAAAGAAAATAATATAAGTCAAATTTTCAGCAAATTGGAAAGCCATAATCAACATAATCTATCTGCACCATAAAATATGAAAATTATATTTATTGATAAAACTTATTATCAAGTTTTACTACTATATCTAACAAACACACAAATATTTAAGAAGACTTATCTATAATATAATATAATATAATATAATATAATATGATATAATATAATATAATATGATGATGATGATGATGATGATGATGATAATAATGTCCTCTTAAATTTACAAATGTAGAATATCAACATCTATGGTCATATATTAATGTTTACAAATTTGAACCATAATATTTCAAAATTAAAAACATAAACATAAACTTATCACCTATAACATTTTCATGTTTAGTTACAGTAATTCAAGTTTACTACACATTCTATCTTCATTTTTAACATTATTTTAGTTATATGAGTAGTATAGTAAGAGATTTCTTTTTTATCAAATTGAAGCTACAGCAATTTCAGAAGCTACATGTCTCTAAGGCTGTAAAATTTTATAAAAACTTGAAAAATATAATTACCTGTATCTCGCCAATAAGTTTACCACTTTTATAAAGTGTATTAATATTTCCCAGAATATGATCAAATCTTCCAGATGATTCTACAAATACATATATTGCCTTCAACTGTAAATGATAATTTCTATTCATTTTTCATATAAAATAAAAGAATAAAAAATTTCATAATTAAGTCTGATATTACATTTATATTTTTCTTGTCAGCATATTGTTTCAATTGAAGCAAAGCTTTCGTATAATCTGAATGATCTTGATCAGGTGTCTCAATGATCGTTGAACCCATAGATTTTAATTTTTCAAGAATTTCAAAAGAACAACTATCCATATCACCAGTAATTAGGTTTGGTACATATTGAAAATGTTTTCCATCAAAAAGATCTATATCTTGCATTTCTAGATAATGCAGCCATCTATCTGTTCCACCGTCAACAGTGACATTAATCTGTGCTGAATAATATACATACAGTTACTAAAAAAAAAATGAAGTATACAAAAATTTAAATATTAAA